CTCACGGCTTCGGCGTTGCTACCACATCGCAGGAACGGGATCGGGTCATCTTCACACACCCCCACAAAACATCACGCTACCGTGAATGATGATGATCTGACAGCGAGCGCACGAGAATGAGGATTGCACGTTCGCAGCAACCCGGGAATGCAAGGAAAGAGTTACGATCTACACACGATGACGCCGGCCCGACCCTTCACTAATAATTCTAGTGCGCGCATGTGTGCGTGCGTATGCCTGCGTTTGTGCGTATGCGTACGTGCGTGCGTATGCGTGCGTGCGTGCGTATGCGTGCATAATATCAAGTGTGCGTGCGTGGGTCTGAATATTTGCATGCGTGTGTGTGCGTGAGGGCGTGATTGCCTGTGCATGCGTTAAAAACGTCGCGTGCGTGCGCGCGTGCGTGCAAACACGAGGAGAGCGTGTGCGTAGCGTAACGATTCGTCCGCAGCAGCAGCAGGATGTCACGACAACGTGTCAGAAATAGTCGCCCCGCCAGTAGCAGCAGCTCCACTCACTACGCGGCTACGTGTGTTGCACACATACGCCGCCCCGACACACGGGGTCCGCCTGCCTGCCTCGTGTAGACGCACTCAGACAGTAAACGATCACCCTCTGCAACAATGAACGACGGCAGGTCGGCGATGCGACGCATGCCACGCTCTTCCGGCGCGGCTCATCTCACGTGGTGAGCCAGGGTAGGGTTAGGGGGAGGGCGGGAGCGCAGTAGTTTCGGCATAGTTTCGTGTACACGAGGGGAGGTACGTGCGTGCGTGCGTGCGTGCGTGTTTCATGTACGGGCGCACCGTGCGTGCGCCCTCGTGAGCGCGCGTTTATGTGCTGGTGCTGTTTATGTGCTGCTTGCGTGCCCTCGTCGTGCGCGCAATCGCTGGTGCGGTTTACTGTACGTACGTGCGTGCTGTTTACTGTGCGTTGCGTCGTCGTCGAAATGCGCGCGTGCGTGTTTATGTGCGTGCGTGCGCTGCGACTCTGTGTGTGACAGTTATAATCACTGATGTTGTCAAGAGCTAATAATACAAGTATTAATACATGTATTGTTAGCTCTTGATGTCCTTACAACTATAATATATAAACAAATTCAACAGAAAAATAGTTAACAGAATTTGCCGAAGAGAGAATACAGAGAAGAGAGAGAGAGAGAGAGAGAGAGAGAGAGAGAGAGAGAGAGAGAGAGAGAGAGAGAGAGAGAGCGCGAGAGAGAGAGAGACGAGCGAGCTGAGAAGAGAGAGAGAGAGAGAGAGAGAGAGAGCGGGACAGCAACTTACACCCTGTTCGTAAGTTAACAATAACAGGTAGAGACGGATGAACGTAATATTACGTGACTGCTCAGGGATGGCGAGGATTTGACCCGACAAAAGAGACGAACGAATGAGAAGAAAGCAGCGAGAAATGTTTGCGCGAACACGGGATTTCGTTTGCCTAGAGAATACAGAGAAAGACTTAGGAGAGTCACACACTAAAAGTAAAAGCCGGTAGGGAAAATGATAAGAACGCCAGCTACACGTCTGCCAGCGACCGTAACCATAACGACATTCCCACAACGTGCGCATCTCCAGGCAGTCTCTGTGGCCTTCTCTAACTGCCCACGCTTGTCTTGCCGTACAATCAGCGGCTGTGCACAACGTACCGCGCGACAACCACACCTTTGTCAGAGAGAAACCGCCGCCCCCGCTCGCGCGGAAAATTGGACACCTTGCAAGCCGTGTAGCAGCGCTAGCCTGGACCCAACAAGCACCAGCGTGTGCGCTCGCTTTAGTCATCCGTGATGCGAGCATTTTTTTTCGCGCCGACCCCGTCGCTTATTTGAGCGCGCGTTTGTCAGCAAGGCGACTAACTTGTTCTGCATATGTGCTAACACCTCCTCTGTAGCGCCTCCCGACGGACGGGCAGGCCAACGCCTCGGACGAGTATCAGTGCGTGCAGGGGGCGGAACTCCCCTCCTCCCCTCCTCCCCCCACGCGGGGCCACCCCCTACCCGCGGGCTACCGGACGCAGGCTAGCGCCTCCGCGATTCATGACTGACGGGCGAATTTAACAGCACGTATTCAATTTCTAGGTAGTGTCTGTCCGTTTACGGCAGGTAATGCCCCGAATGCCAGCTCACCTGCGCACATTGTCGCGCCTGTATTTATCACACCTGAGCACCGACAGCGCTACACGTAGCAACACTATACGTGCTACTGCTGCTGCTGCTGCTGCTACTGCTGCCGCTGCTGCTACCGCTGCTACTGTTGCCACTGCTATACATATGGGATGTCAATACTGTAGGGATTAATGACTCTACCAAGGTTACCGGGGCAGCACAGGTGTAATGGCACCTGCGGCAAAAGCTTGGGACAGCAGCTGGGAAGGACAAAAAGGAATTGTCTCGTTCTTTAAAGACTGGGACACACACACACGCGCACGCACGCACGCACGCACGCACCGCACGCACGCACACACACACACACACGCACCACACACCACACACACACACACACAGCTGGTGTAGAGGGAGGAATGGAAGTAGGGAGAGTGATAGTCCATTTTTATGAGAGGAGAGGGAGAAAGACTCGTTGTAGAGAGAGAGCAGCGCACTCGTGAGACCGATGGGAGAAAGGGAGAGTAAGAAAGAGAAAGAGAGAGAGAGAAAGAAGAGAGCAGCAGACTAGAGAGAGAGAGGAGAGAGAGAGAGAGAGCGGCAGAAGAGAGAGAGAGAGAGAGAGAGAGAGAGTAAGAGCGAGGAAGAGAGAGAGAGAGAGAGAGAGAGAGAGAAAGAGATAAGCAAGGGAAGACGGACAGAAAGTCAACAATGCGACAGTGTGAGAAGCCGAGCACGTTATTGCGGGCGTGAGTAGAACGACGTCTATATAGCATAGCATGCATAATAAAGCCTACAGCTGGCGCGGCTGCTTGAGCAAGGTGGTTAAGAAATGTGGGACTGGGGGCGACCCTTCGATCTACCACATGCTCCACGTTTTCGGAATACACAACGCACGCGTAGAAAGAAGATAAATAAATCATACACAAAAATCCGTTGGCATCGAAACGTTGCCGAGGGTTTGAGAATGAGTGGAACAGCGACAAACACATGACAAGCGATGAAGATGTTAGACGAAGGTTGGAAGCGTTTGATACGAATGACACTACAATACTGATGTCTACTCCATTATCATGGCGGCCATTGTTGTGCGCAATGCTCGAGTAAGAATTCTCGAGTGAAACTTATCATATTTCCAATGCCGTTGGCGTTTCAATAGAAATGGGTTAACAATCGCGCAGCAACTACAGAATAAATATCTCACACTTGCGTAATTTGAGAAAACTTGCAGTGAAAGTTTCGGCTGCCAATTTTACAACTGCCCGTATTTCAGTGCGACATGCATAACTGGTTGCTTATAGGAAAGCGCTTATAGGAGGGCGCTTATAGGAAGTAATACAAAGTGCACACAGCCTATGCATTATTGCCTTCTGATTCAAATCCATATAAGACACCGTGAAGGTCTTTTGTTGCTATGACAAAGGTGTGTACACACGAGAGAGTAAAGTAAGACGATTGCTGGCAATGCTAACTGCTGCCATGCCTGGTACTACTTCCGTGGTGCTGGTCTCGTTGTTCGCAGGACTGCACGTATACTTGCCAGTACTCCGCATATATCGATGTCATCGTATACATATACCACAACCGATGTGATATATAATAATGTGTATATAATAAGGACTCGTCACATCACAGTAACAGCGCAGGAAGCGTGAGTATACAGGTGAACGTTGTTGCAACTGCTTTGTGACACCAAAGTGTATATATTAATATATATCAAGAGCTAATAATACCTAAGGTATTAATTTATTAATAATCTATTATTAGCTCTTGATATATATATATAATATAATTTAGAATGGAAAACTCAGAATATCACAGAATTGCGTTCAGTCAAATAAATATTATTTCAATACACGCGCACCAACAGTCTGCCCCCGATCACGACTCTAACCCACTTTCACTACTTCTTCCCTAAACAAAGTGGATATACGCGCCTATTAATTATACCACCCATGCCCACACATGTCACGCCTAACCGTTCCCTCTATTCTCAGAAACCGTTTGCGCACTACAGATTAACAACTTAACCAATAACTTAATAAATGACTTGCAAGGCGCGGAATAAGTCTCCGCTACAAACATCAATACGCCCGCTCGTCTACCATTTTATTTCTTCATAAACAACTGCCGAAAAACCGCTACGCTGTGCTACTATTACCACGAAACGAGTTTTCCTAATAGTCTAGCTTCTATTAACTACATGTGCAAAACATGTGCTACATTTAGTCTCGCGAGATCACATTACACACGATCATTCTCTCGACTAATAAGGAGTATATTAAGGGCTGAACATTCTAACGCAGGCATTGTGATTAGAAAGATGCAGGCTTGTTGGTTTATCGCGCAGAAGCTTCCACCAACTTTGGCAGCATTTCAGTGCATAGTTACAGCGTTATATAGTTTCGGCCCAGCAGCACTACCACCTGATCACCACTGATCGCCACGCGCACCCTGGCTACAAGGAAACGATGCCGCAGTCCTGACACCGACGACTCCGATGTGCACACACTATACGGTTGTTTTAAGGACATTAACTGGTGACGGGCGAGGGAAGGCCGTGGAGGTCAGAGCGGTCATTTTCACGACGGGCGTCCTCAGTGAACGTAGCGTCTTCCATTCCACACGCTTTGCGTACGAATAACGCCATACGAAGGTAGAACAGACGTTCCTTTCATGATGCCTCAGTTCGTGTCAAGTGTATCAAGGCTGTTCATATCACGTACTAAGACGTCGTTTGCATTTGCCACATACATTTCCCTGTCGTTTCAGTCTTAATTTTGATCGATTGCTAGAAAAGATTCATATTTCTACGAACGAGATCGCGAGATCTATAGCGGCCATGCCTGACATCGTCAATCGATGAACGTATAACTATAAGGTGCGCAGGAATACTCACTCATGGTATATACGGAGCGCCGCGTAGACTTGATCTCTCTCCACCTCTGCCACTAAAAGCTCCTGTACCTGGAGAAGAAAGGCAACAGTCTAAATATCGATGATACTCACTGTGATGACAGACACAACACTACTTTATACATTACATAAATAACATAGCTTATCTTAGCTAATGAAAAACGACATATTATCAGGAGTGAATAATAGAAAGTCCATAATAGAAACATTTCTATTATGGACTCTTGATATTGTTACTCTATGATGTGTTTGTGTACTTTAATATCTCGGACACTGCCGACACCCATACTAATCAAAAATTGGTATAAATTATTCAGTTGTGAATGAAGCACGTCATTCTGATATCATTTTTGCCCACACACTGTGAACTCTCATCCGTGTGACTCATAATACAAATATGGATATATGTTATTATAAGAATGCATCAATTGATGGAAAGCTTGTAATTTCATTACTAATAAAATATTTTATAACATGTATACATTTCCCTGCACATTCGTTCACCTCATTATCTCTAGATCTGTTTAGCTGTTTAGCAGCTTATATTGGAAAACCACCGGTAAATAAGATTTTCAACGTCACCTTCTTCTACTTTGACATTTCTAACTCTGCTTGACCCTCTACACTGACTGCCCACAACATATGCGATAATAGGGCAAATACGTACATATAATGCTATTAATAAGGGTATACATCGATGAAAGTATTAGTAACAATCGTAAAGGTAACACTCCCAACAATTCACCCCATGCCGTACCATATGAGTATTTTCGATAAACCATTCTTGATGTAATCCAACTCTGCCATGTTCTATTATTGCCGTGTGTTCCGTGCACGCTTGGGTAGACACTTGCGCCAATTCTATAACAATTTCTAGCGACCCAGCGCAGCTATGAGGTCGACTCAATTTATGTGTTTGTACGCGGGATTACAGAAAGCTCGGTGTACACAAGTGTACATGGACGGTTATCGGCAGTAACAATACCGCCACTACTGACCTCATATCGCAGAAATTCACATTTTACTTGATAAAAAAAAACCGATGCTCAGTAGACGAAGAAGTCACTGAGGGTCACGGGGCACCGGGCTCACATGACACCGTAACCAGAAACCGGACAGTTACTAAGAGTAAAAGACGTTTCAGAGCGCAGTTCAATGAAGTTGTTAGACATCAGCCGTTGGTCAACAAAATTCCTTGGGCATAGAAGCTAATACCACGCAAACACGCGCGTACGAACACACACGCCCGCCCGTACACACGCATGCACACATACATCCAATCGAAAGGATATTTTCCTCTCTCGATACAACACTCAGTTTCAACGTTACTCGTGTACTACGTTACACAGAAATGTTTCTGTAGTATATATATAAACTTCAAGCACAATTACAGCGTTGAACCTCGGAGTAATCATTCTGACAGAGTTCAGTCAGTCTTCTTCAGTTATTCTTCAGATTCAGTCAGAATGATTACTCCAAGGTTAAACTATACCAGCAAGTAAGTCAGTTACCCTACCATAGTCACGGATGAACCAGATGAAACAAAACCAGATCTACTGGAAACTGCATGTGGGTGGGTAGCAACGTAGCCAGCACGAGAATATATGCTACGCTGCATCCTCAGAACTGTCGCTCTGCATTGCTCTGCCTGCCTGTGGCGCGAGTGTATGACATTATACAGGTACACATTGCAATTACGGCACGCACGTACCTGTTGGTTACATCAGGAAGAGTGGTCACGGAGGTAGGCAGGGGGACGATGAGGAGATATGGCATGTTGACTTCACACAATGCATGACAAGCAGACCTGCAGCGCAGCGTGCCCAACATTGGCAACTCCAAAAAGGTTATGCACACTCTTGCACCGGCTCGTGTAAATGAAACATTACGGAATGCCAACAGAGTCAGAACAGACTCACTTTTTTAACCAGTTGAATAGAAAAGCAATTTCACAGCAAGTAGCTCTGCTTTGGGGTAGGTGAGAGTGATGGTAGGGGGGAAGATGAGGGGAGGAGAATGACAGAATAATTGGAAAGGGGTAAGATAGCCCAGATAAAGGGGGATCTTTAGGTCAGGATTACAAGAGACATAGCAATTCAGAGAGTTACAACGGGTGAGGCAGAAGGTAATAACTAATAAACCGACTATTATTGTCAGTCCAAGTAATTAACTTCCAAATTCAGCTTTCCCTGATGTTTTCTGCCTCTTGTGACCTAATTGTGATTCATTCCCTTTCCTATCCGATCTACTTTATCAAGTATTATTGTCAATCAAGTACTCTATTAAGTATTAAGTATACTTTTATACACTTTCGACTTTATCTCAATTCAAATCTGCCTAGAGGAACATCTCAGTTTACGTCTACCTAATGTTCAACATCTCAGTTTACGTCTACCTAATTATAGATTCATATCCTTCTTCAGTCAATGCCCATCACTCCATACTTCAAACCATCCTACTGTATCCCCTCTTCATCAGGGCATAGCAAATCAACCACGCGCTTACTCCACAACGACCTGCTAGTGGATTTTCATCCGCTTGTATCAAATCTCCACACATGATTCCCTCATTCTCATACCCAGTAGATGATTAACACTACCAGACTCATTGTACGCCCTAGTTCTAGAATCACACAGTGGCGGAGCGAAAGGCTATAGTTCTAGAGCTAGGCCCCCCCCAACAGATAAAATTTGCTTGCGACTTTTTTTTGCTGTGGCTGCATTCATCAGCGCCTTGCCAGGAAGCAGAGCGTGTTCAAGGTAAAATCAATGTTCGCTGACAGGGTGTGGAGAACACTGATCATCATCGCTGTAGCCTGTTATTACTTATTCCCTGGCGGTCAGAAATGAGGGTGAAATGATGAGATGATAAAACGCTGGCTATATCCGGATTGAGTGGGTCAGGGATAAGCACAGCTTCCATCCTCAATCCTGCCCACAATACGCTTGATATTCAAATATTATCAGGGGCTAATGATATATTATAATATATTATTAGCTTTTGATATTTTTCATTTAGATCTAACGTGAACGTTACTATTTTTGTTACTTGATATCTCGTTGGTACCTCGTACATCTACACACAGGCGATTAAGTTAATGTTTCAATCACTACGTGTGCTGCTGCTACAGGTACAAATCAGGGTTCTCCAAGGGCACTTATAGCCTGGCGGCCCGCCAGGCTATCGTCGAGCCCCGCCATCCTAAAATGCACCCGCCACGCTAAATATCAGAGCCGCCATGCTGGTGTACACACGAGAAGTTCAAACAATTAATTAATACACGTTGATCTCGATGCTACGAGTACGGCAGTACCACACACAATTACAAACAGTCACCCTATACCTATCCAATATTACCCCCTATACCAAAATTTATCTATGGTGTATAACCTTTTGCTTTAAATATTTTGCATCTGAACTGACAATCAAACCCAACCTGGTGTAGGCTAGCTGGCACAATAATGTTCATTTTCATACTTAAAATCCGAGTGTTTTCTAGCTCATCAAGAAATCTTAATCGTGAATTAAATCGTGAATTAATTTCCAACGGCATTATTACGGGGCAGGTAACCCAGTCTAACACGAGGTAGAGTAGACTGGTACACTTACCGACCACTCCTGCCATTGTCAATGGTGACCTTTTTTTTTTTTTTTTTTATGAGAGGTGAACTCGATTTGGAACCAGCAAACCAGCAAGTTTACCCCTACATTTTTGTATTTTTATTCCATTCATTATTTTGAATTTTCCGATGGCTTTGCCCATGCAAAACAAACATTTCCACCCCACATGCAGTGCTTCAAATTTACACACAGCTAGAGTGTCCCAGATTGCATCTCAGAGCTTCCACAATTCAAACATTTTCCGGGGGGGCATGCCCCCGGACCCCCCTAGCACTGAGTACCACCCCCATGCTATAATTTAAAAGCTTGGAGAACTTAAGGTATAATTGGCTCTTGATAAGGTTATACTGTCATTATTCATTTATTGTATCTAGAGGCCACACCTCATAAATCATAATCGATCATTATATCACACTGTCCTGAAATTTAACCCCACATGCAGCGCTAAAGTAGAACTTATTATGCATATAAAAAAAGAACTAAGCACTACATAGTCACATTTAAAAAAATTTAATTTAGAAAATAACACGACAACTCAGGGGGCAAATTCAGGATTTTCAAAATTAATGGGGTGGGGTGGGGGTGGTTAACCGTAGCCTCCCCATATAATTAGGAGTCTCCTGATATAATATGTTTCAATGTGTAACCGATGTAGAGATGAGAAACCGAAGCAAGCTGAGCGTCTAACTAAGCATAGACCACTGTTTCAGATATTGCAGCCTCTTTTAATTTCTGAAAGTCAATTTGCAAGGGAATTATAATTTCGCACCAAATAACGCATAAATAACATATAGCCTCTACTTCATCCAGATCCAGACTTCCCAGGCTTGTTTTACTTTTAGCTGAAAAGAAATTAAGTCATGACCATTGACAGTGTCTGCCGATCGATTACTGGCCCTGGTAGTGGTATACGTATAGCTGTACGGGTCTCACATCTACGGGCATATATAAATTTGCCACCCAAACTATGACAGTAGCCTTCTGCGATCATGGTTCACTTACCTTTTGTCGAAAGTCTCTTGCTATCTCCTGCTCAAATTGGGCTTCTTCGTCCATTGTCAGTTCGTTTTCTGCCAAAACCATCGAAAAACCGTAAATTCACACAACCGTACCTGCGCAACACCTGCACCAACAATAAACGGCATTTCATCTACGATTGGCTAGCAACGTAGAACGTACCATTAATTTCCACAGGGAGGGGTGCTTATCATGAGATGAGCTGGTCGGAATCGAGACGAAATGGCCTTAATTAAATTGACGTTATTCATTGATAAATATATATAATCACCCAAAACAATTGCGACAATGTAGATTTAGCAATCTTAGATAAATAAGAGAACTAAAGTGAATGTTTGTTATTTCATTGATCTTGATGCTTGTCACTCAGTGTCAGTTGTCTTGTCGATCTCCGTTCCATTTCAAGTGCGCTGTGCTGCCCTCTCTTAGCCAAAATAATATTGAATCGTATCGCAAGTTAAATATAGCACAGTAAACGTTTTTGAGTGAAGCGTTTTCCGAACAAGCCGCACGAGTGTATATATATATATATATATATATATATATATATATATATATTATATATTATATATATATATATATATATACAGGGGCGTAGCTACGGGGGGCCTGTGGAGGCACGTGCCCCCCACAAATTTTCTGTGCCCCCCAGGTGCCCCCCCGGCCCCACTGAAAATTCATGCTTGATAAAAAAATTGAATTAAAAACAATGCCGTTAGAACAATATAATACAAAGAAAGATTATATATTGTGCCCCCCTCACGAAAATGTAAGGCCCCCCAGTGCCCCCCCCTCCGCTGAAAAAATCCTAGCTACGCCACTATATATATATATATTATATATATACTGCAGAATAGTCTTTACTTCCGGCCCCAGTTTCTATTCCGTGTCACTGCGCACGCTTACGACAATATAAACGCGTTGTAAACGCCGTAATTAGACTCAGCCGACGGAATGCCGGCCACCGCACGCTGTGCGCATCCGACGTCAATACGTTTCGTTAACTCTTCTCTACTCGGTATAAAGTCGAGGCCAACGAGGGATGAAGAAATGGGCTTCCAAACAAGAACACAATTATAGGCGTACCACAGCTGGTTCCCTTTAGCGAAGCTTTTGGATCTGCAATACGGGGTTAGCCGCGTCCGTGAAACCGATGACTGATGGCTGACACGGTACATGGTACGCGTCTTTCAATATGATCTGCTGGCGTGTGTGTATGAGGTTTGGTACAGCAGGCTGCATTGAGACGTCAGCTCTCGCAGTTTTTCACGTGTTTTCTCTGTACACTTATATTTATCTTCACTGGTTTCGGCCACACATGATTATTCATGTTCTCGATTCGGTAAATACTAAATACGGTAATTTTTTACATGGACGCGCGCGTCTTCTCCTCTTGCGATCACAGTCTCTCTCCGCATATTAAAACACGTCGACTTGCGAGTGGCAACTTTTCTCGCCGATTGTCATGTTAGGCTAGTCGTGACATATTCTGACGAGAGGGGGCGCTGATTGTGAGTAATGAGATGCGGTCGTGGTGATGGATATGGACGACAATCGGCATAAAATTTAATTATAGAGTGATGTTTGCTGGTTCAATATCATATTGAAACGGTATATATACTATAGAACGCTAAAAACAAACGTTAGATATAGATTTCTTAGACGGATTGGTCATTCACTAATTAGATATCATGCGTATATATTATATGATGATCCGTCAGGGGACAATATATCCACGTATATACGTTATTATGATATCTAACCACGTCATGATCAATCATTTCCATAGTAATCGATGGTGACTCTCAGGACGTGTTTTAGACTGTCGGCAAGCCTACGATTCGTCGTTCCGGATAAGACACGCGGCGCCAGTCTAAGATACGGCTAATTGTGAAATCCGACACTTGATCCACGGCAAGGAAATTGCGCGCAGCAAGACATCGGGGTGCGGGAGGAGAGGGGAGGGGCGCCTCGTGTGGATGAGGCTTCGTGTTTCCCTCTCTCGTGATGTTTGCCAAGCGGTGGCATTCACAATCGGCCGATGAGGACCTGCATACGGCTCAGCAGCGCTGCACCAGTGTCGTCTGCACACCACCCGAGTTTCCAGTCGGCTTCCTTACCGCGTACGTTATCGATAGATCGATGCACGCGAGTGTCGGCCCGTCCTGCTAGGCCGTGTATTTCCCACCAATCGAAGTGGTATTTAAAGCTGCCGCGTCACGATACACATGCACCCTAAGGGTACGGTGCCAGTTAGTTTGTTCCGATAGCGACATCAAATCGAAATTAAGACGAAGAGTGAAGGTTTTATTCGTCGTCTTCCGCTTTAGACTCGCGCGCACACGCTATAGACAGATTACACGGCAATTGCGATCGTCGTAGACTTCGTGGGGGAAGCGAATTAGACTCCGTCTATAACGCTGACATTTTGTAGCACGGGTTTTTTTCGATGCGCAGGACGAACCGAAAGAAAATAATTAAATATTCAATAATATTAAATAAAATTATATTAATTAAAAAATATATATTATTTAATATAAATATTAATTAATTATTGATGTGATATTTGACTCTAGACGGCGAGGGATTTAAAGGGATACTAGACTCTCGGATTTTACTGCATACAACTGTACTTACTGTATAACAAATCGTCTATACCCACACGCACTTGTTACCAGATACCTAATTTAATTGTTATAATTAATTATACATCAACGCTACGAAATTTGAACGGCGCCATTGACACCCGCGACCGTGCTGCCACGCTGAAAAAAGTTGCGCTTTTTCCCAATATATTTTGCACGTTACAGACCGAGGGCTAATCACAAAGGTGCAATTATATTTATACCTAAATGCTATTTAACCGAACGATGTTCATTTTAGGACAAATTTATCCATAATATAACTGAAACTACATGTCGTTTATAAGATATTACAATCCCTTTGCTTTTAAATTAATAAATAAGAAACACCCTCGGTCTGTAGCCCTTGGCTGAAAAGTCGTTTTGCGCAACTTTTCAGACCGTGCGCTTTGAGTGGCGCCACCGTCGTTGTAATCAAACTGTAGTCGTTAGTTTTAAAACATTAAAATATAATATTTCTAATGATGATTGAACCATGAAACTTTTTATGTTGCGTAATTTTAACCTAAAAAATAACATATTTTTAAACAGTTGTATGTTTCAAATGAACCGCAGCCGCGAGCACTAGGTAAAAGTGAGCTGTCTATTGCAGTGATAGCTCCGCAGTTTAAACAAGGCGCAGATGAAGTGGCCTTTCTAGCAGCACGATGTGTTTACGTACCCAGCCAGGCGCAACCTTCAAGTTTGAATAATCTTGAAAAATTTAACACTAGTGCCACGATGAAGACGTGAGAGTCATGTCAAAAGCGTTCATCGATATTCCCCCCAACCCCCCGCCCCCCACCGACCGTTTTTCGCCATCGCTTGCTTTGAAAACACAATCAACAAGCGAATCACACTGCCTTCCGTTTACCGTGCTAACACGTGTTATTGTCGATGTGACGTTCATGCTGGATCAATGGCCAGCGGCCTTCCTGTGGATTCGTGATGGCGTAGACGCCGTAGAAGAAATTACAAAACGATAGCCATCGATGTTTCATCCGTGGGGACCTTTATTCACCGGTCTATATGCGAAATATATGTGTGTCTGTCGTCGTTTATATGCAATATATTTCTAACCTTCCTCGGGCGATGTTACGCAATAAAAAACATCCTTGATTGACATGACATTGGATGTGATTGAACATTATTTGCCGATTGATATCTGTGTATCACGTATATAGCTCTGTTGTGAGCAGCACAAATAATATTATTAGCTATTGATAAAATGTATATAATATGACCCGATTCTGTATTCAGTAATTGTTTGTTAATAAAGTTAATTAATTTTGCCGTGTTGGATGGGTGAGCTTCTATGCAGTGTTATAAGCCATACATGTTGATATTGCGTCAGATATAGCCAGCACATTCTATAAACAGCACATTCTAAAAGGGCATCTTGAATAAAGCGGAAATGCGCAGACGTAGAACTCACATTAAAATTAAATAGAATTTATGTTTTTTTTTATTCAGAGAGAAAGAGAGAGAGAGAGAGAGAGAGAGAGAGAGAGAGAAAGAGAGAGAGAATGACAGAGAATGCAATACCTTCCTGTTTTGTAATGTGTAGGTATTGTGACGTATAAAGTGATACGTAATACGTGAGAGAATAAATTATTAAGGCAACATTAATATCGCTGTAAAACGATATTCTCATTTTCATCATCTTCATTATCTTTAGTAGCGGGTGGTTGTTACCGTGCGTTTCAAGGGACCAGACGACTTTAAATGGCCCGACATGACTCCGACGGCTGTTTGTGACAAGGCGCATTGGCTTTATATAATTCCCACGTCGTCAGCGACATTCTTTATATAAATAAATGCTACAAGGATATCTATATAATCCGGGCCGTATAGACAGAGATAGAGCAGTATTATAACCAACTCGTTAGAAAATGTCACCGCATTTGAAATGGAATGCTCTCGTCGCACGTCAATCTCACAATGGAATACTTGGGTAATGCGTAATAGTCGTACACTAAAAAGGCACTATCATATATATATATACATAAATGTGAACTCTCACCGGAACCAACGAACGTTACAGTGTACGTATACATGAATATCTAATAACAACAACGTTATAATTGGAGAATTTTATTTTCAGATAAATCCAAATAATATATTGACCCTCTAACGACATCGGGTTTCTGCTGTGGTCTAGCCGTCTGTGGTCTAAACTCGATAATGTTATTTAGCAGCAGATGGCGACAGGTAGATCGTCGTTAACAGGTTAATATGTGTGGATTTATCCGGAATTAAAATTACTCTTGACATAAAACCGATTTGTCAAGAAATCCGATGACTAACATTTTATATCTATATCTATATATATATATCTATATATATCTATATATATATACATATAAATATATACATATATATACATATATACACATATATAATACATATATATATATATAATAATATTTATTATATATATATATATATATATACGCACAAGGAGGGCCAAGTTCACGAACCTGCGTTGCCTGTCGTGTATATATACATATATATACAATAGTCCTGCATGAACCTGACAAGACATGCCATTTATCTCTTGTCAGCACGGCCGTTTGTCGCGCGGCGGTCTACATCTGAGATTATAAATCTTGACGTCTCGTAATGGCTTCATCACTGATTTACTCGGCAATCTAATACGAGCCAGAGCGTCATCTCAATATTTCGGCCCCGATAGGAGCAAATGCGCGGTCTGTACATCAGGTGACTATATACAATTACACGCGTTAACAGTAGTAGTAACAGCAGCAGCAGCCACAGCAGCAGTAGAGGCAGCAACACTACTCACTAATCACTACTAATTACTACTACTAATTATGACTACTAATTATGACTACTAACAATCATAATCACTGTTAGCAGTTTAGCTGTGATGCGATACTACAACAACTATCATCACCACCACCACCAGTAGCAGCAACAGCAGCCGCCGCCGCTGCAGCATAAGCAGCAGCAGTAGCAGCAACAGCAGTAGCAACAACAGCAGCCGCCGCTACAGCGTAAGCAGCAGCAGTAGCAGCAATAGCAGCAAAGGCAGCAGCAGGAGCCACAACAGTACGAACATCGTTCGATCTAGAAATCACACTCTGCATCTTTCGTCCCGAATCTGTCGGAAAGACGCGGTCACGAGGTCACGCGGTCACGTGATCACGCGGTCACGCGGCCGCGCCGTCACCGGGAATAACCGAAGCTGCTCTCCTCCACCCAGTAGTCATTGACGTCCGGCGGCTGAGCCAACTTCTCGAGCTCGCCGCTAGAGGTCGCCTCGTTCACATCGGGGCCCGACGACGGACCATCGTCAGTGTCGCCGCCGCCGCCGCCGCCGCCGCCGCTGCTGACGAGGCCGCCGCCCAGCTCGGCCGTCTCCATCGCTTGTATGAATCGGATAAAGAGCGCCTCCTCCCGAATACGTTCGGGAGACTTCGGGAACATGTGCTCGGGCGTGTGGGCCCGAAGTACAGGCTTCGGCACCTCGACCTCGATCTGAAAGCCGATGATAGGTGGCGCTTGCTTCCCCGTATCCGACAGCGAATCTTCGCGCGGTGGAGCCTGCGTGTAGCAGCAAGTGAACGACCGCACGACGGCCAACAACGCCTCGCGCATGCGTACTAGCAACGTTTTGCGGAACAGAATGTAGAGCCACGGGTCGAGTATTTGGTTGATAGAAGCCAGACGAATTGCCATCAGGCTCAGATGCTGGTGCTGAAGTCCACTGCTCTGACTCAGTATGATTTCTATCTGTAATGCACACATAAAAGTACATGAATGAGAATCTAGCGAAATGCCGTAAGACTATTATGGATCATGGTATAATGGGCTCTTGATTCCAGCATTGCACCAGCAGCAGTGATTGAATTAGTATAGGGGCCCCTGCAGGCTGACACGAATCGGATTATAAACAAAGAAAAAGCTAACCCAAACCTCGAACATCAAATGTATGCCGCTCTCACATGTGCGTTGTAAGGATTCGTCTATAGGTAATATAATATGCCTAACCGCATAAAAAACCACTACATCACATCGCCTACTTCAATCCTATTTTCTTTCTCCCCTCCCCTCTGCCCGTCTCTCTCATTCTCTTGCTATTGCCATATTCTCCATTCCGCCTTCCATACCTCCATATATATATATATTAATTTATTTCTGTGGTTGTATTAAAATGTGAGCACCACCATATAATTAATTTTAAATAAATATAATTTGTCAATATCTAATACATATTTGTAAATGTATGTCTGTTTGTTTGTCTGTTATCAATGCAAATCAATATGGAGCACTCTGGCAATCTCCAAAGACGTTCAGTAAGGGTAACCTTTGATGCTGAATCTCATGGGCACATTGGATTTGACCTCCGAGGTCATCTGAGGTCGCAGGGGGAAAAACGGGAAAAAGCGTCAAATAAACCCTGCACAGCGTCAAATAAACCGGTCCCTGCAGCAAAATTTTCCAAACAGAATTCAGCTTTCACTGACTTGATACAGTAGTATATAGATAGATAGATAGATAGATAGATAGATAGATAGATAGATAGATAGATAGATAGATAGATAGATAGACAGATAGATAGTTAGATAGATGGATAGGTAGATATATATATTATATATTATATATATATGATAGATAAGACTAGATAGTAGATAGATGATAGCATAGATAGATAGATAGATAGATTAGATTAGATTTTAGATAGATTAGATAGATAGATGATAGATACGATAGATAGATTAGATAGATAGATAGGATAGATAGATTAGATATGGATAGATAGATAGATAGATAGATAGATAGATAGATTAGAAGATAGCTAGATAGCATAGATAGATAAATAGATGATAATATATATATATATATATTATAATATTAGATAGATTAGATAGATAGATAGATAGATAGATAGCATAGATAGATATAGATAGATATATGGCATAGATTAGATTATAAGATATATAGATAGATAGATAGGATATATAGATAGATAGATAGATAGATAGATAGATTAGATAGATAGATGGTAGTAGATAGATAGATAGATAGATAGATAGATATGATAAGATAGATAGATAGAAAAGAATCTAGATAGATAGATAGATAGATAATACATTACATACATACATACATACATAATACATACATACATACATCATTACATATATACATACTACATACATAATACATAATACATAGCATACATAGATAACATACATACTACATTACATTACATACATACATTACATACATACATACATACATACATACATACATACCATACATACATAATACATAATACATACATTTACATTACATACATACATTACATACATCATACATACATACATTTAACATACATACATACATACCATACTTACATACATACGATACATACATACATACATACATACATACATACATACATACATACATACATACATACATACATACATACATACATACATACATACATACATACATTACAAAATAACAAATTTTTTAAAACATACATACATTACATACATACATACTACATACTCATGCATACAAATCAGTACATGCATACATACATACATACATACATACATACATACATACATACATACATAGATAGATAGATAGATAGATAAATAGATAGATAGATAGATAGATAGATAGATAGATAGATAGATAGATAGAAAGATAGATAGAAAGATAGATAAATAGATAGATAGATAGGTAGATAGATAGATAGTTAGATAGATAGATTGATAGATAGATAGATAAATAAATAGATAGATAGATAGATAGATAGATAGATAGATAGATAGATAGATAAATAAATAAATAGATAGATAGATAGATAGATAGATAGATAGATAGATAGATAGATATATAGATAGATAGATATATATAGATAGATAGATAGATAAATAGATAGATAGATAGATAGATAGATAGATAGATAGATAGATCGATAGAGAGCAATAGATAGATAGATAGATAGATAAATAGATAGATCGATAGATAGATAGATTATTTTTATTTTATTTTTTCTTTCAACCAAGTGGTCGCCAACTGAGCGCTTTATTTCCCGGGCAACGCAGGGTATCCTGATAGTGTATAATAATTAGTATTCATCAAAACCACGTCGCGAGGCAGCCATTGCCCGCAGCGCCACCTACCAGCGGCAACGACCAGCAGACGTGCTACTACTAAAAGCGCGACTATTAAGTAATCAGCGCGGGCGGCCATGACACTTGCCCGCAGCGCCACCTACCATCAGCGGCGACCAGCAGACGATGAAGGTGAGCGTGATGGCGACGAGCAGCACGACCATCTGCATCTCGACGCCCCGCGGCCGCTTCCCGCCGCCGCCGCCGCCGCTGCCGCCGCCTCCGCCGAAATTCGTCTGTTCAGACGGCGAGTTCTCGCGCGTGCGCCGTCGCCGCAGCTTCAGCAGCACGCCGATGACAGCGACGTTGCACCACACCGTCACGCCGATCGTCGCCAGCGTGTAGAGCGCGTACACGTACGTGTAGGCGACGTCGGCCGGCCGACTCGCCGACGAGTCAACGAAGCACCACGTGCCCGGGTACTGCAGCGCGGTGGCGCCCCAGCCGAGCAGCGGACAGGCAGCCAGCAGCACCGTGAAGGCGCATAGTGCGGCGAGGTAGACGCGCGCGCGCCGCCGCGTGCAGTTCGTCTGGTAGAAGTAAGGCCGCTTGAGGCACATGTAGCGTTCGACGGCCATCGTGCAGACGATTGCTGGCGTCATCAGTCCGGCGCACATCATGACGAAGGCGTGCGCGCGGCAGACGCCGTCGCCGCCGACCCAGCGCAGCCCGTTGACGTAGACGAGCAGCGGAATCGGCGTCGTCAGCAGCTGGCCGACGAGATCTGTGACGACGAGCGCGCCGACGAGCACGTAGAAGATGCCGCGGCTGACGTCGGCGCGCGTGCGACGCAGCACGGCGAGCGCGATGATGTTGCCGACGATGCCGGCGAGGAAGGTGATGATCGGCGACGTGATGGTGACGGCGCGCGACGACGGCGGCTCGGTGACGTTGATGTCGGCGGCGAACGGCGACGTCGGCAGCGCGGTGGCGTTGCGGACGACGTCGCTGTTCTGCCACGTGAGTGCTTCTACCAGCGCCATGGCGCGCGCAGCAACCTGAAACACGCAATACAATGAGACACGTCGGCATCAAAGTCACCCGCGCGCTGTGTAATCAAGCTTCCTGCGGCCGCTGCTGCTACTGCTGCTGCTGTTGTTACTCCTTAATTTTTAATTTACGTTACTCGCTTATTTTTCTTACTTTAATTATCACAATTTTATTAGGACGAAAATCTAATTGAACTCAATTCTTTTGAGAAACAGTTTTGCTATTATGATCGAAAGAATTGATCAGGATCAAGGAATTTGAAGTGGACCAAGCCTTGATTCATTGCTTTTCATTCCTGTCACTATATGTCTTCATCTTCATTCTCAATTCATTTGTTTGAAATGAACGAACAAACAGGTCATGAGACATTTCGTTTAACCTGCAAATGTCAAATATAATACAGGCGGATAGATATAGGAGAATAGGATACAGGAACTATCTGGTATGGGATTTTAAGAGGTTAGTGGGTCCTTGGTTTTAGCTGGTTTAGTACCCAATAATAGTTGGTGTGTAACAATAACCTATGTGGTTGGTCGATCCCGTTTTTTGCCGGGTACGCAGTCGTAGCATGTTTGGTTTTTCAAACATGGCTTGTGGGTGGTCCACTTGTGCTGATGTTTACTCAGTTTCAGCCGCCTCTGTCACGAAGCTCCTGACCTCGGGCAGCTGTCTGTGACAGCGATTGCCTGCAGACATGTAGACGATGATAAGATGGTCTTGTACTCTCCGCCTTACAACGCCCTCATCTTCACCGCGTGGCGTTTGCTTATACGAGCGCCACATATAGGCGGCATACAACCTTCCGCAAATTGAATTCCACATTTCGTCTCTGGAAAATGCCCTTTTTGATTTTTTTTCGGCACTAGAGTGTAGGCCTACTAATTTGCATTGTGCAGGCACGATAGATGCCTCGCGGACGTCTAGAATGCGTTAGAAGTAAGATTGCTCTTGTCGTGTAATTTTGCCATTCAGTCAAGTGGTCACCGTCATGGTGACCGGTCGGCCATTTTTGTCTTTGAAACAGGATCCGACTACTCTGTAGAAGTGTGCATCATTTAGCTGGCAAAAGTTTCGAGCGGAGTATAGAGCTTGAATCTGTGGTTATTTAACATGAATAAAGTGTATGTTACGGGGCGCCATGCAGGACAGGGCTCAATTATGTCTTACAAACCTCACTTTTGTGCATAAAACTCAATTCTGTCTCACAAAAGTCAATTTTGTGAACACAAAACTTAATTCTGTCAATCCTGTCCCAC